AGGGGTGGATGGAAAGCCCCGCAGTCAGGGTTAGCTCGTCCAGACAGACAGCAGGGAGCGGTGCCCCCACGCCTGGACAGACGGATGGACGGACACGGGATGTGGCTGAGAGAGGCAGCACCTCCCACCTGCATTGTTGCATCCCTGTCAGAGCCTCGATGCTTCACCCACCCAAGCCAGCAGCTTAAATTAATCTGAGATGAACTAGTTTGATCTCTTAGTTTGAATTTTGTGCCTGCAAGATTTTTTTTTTTAAAGCCCAGAGAAGTTAATTTCCAGCAGAGCTGTCGTGCTGCTGGCAGGCACAGCCGTGGCCATAAAATACCAGCCCCGACTCAAGACGTCAGAGGGGAACAAAGATAGACTGTGATGCAGAAAAGCTGCACGCATTTAAAATGATCTCCGAAGAATGCAGCGCAGCCCCGAAGACACGTCTCCAGTGTCTCTCCCGAGCTGATCTTTTCCTCTTTAAATAGACTGCTCCGCTTATTCTCTCCTGGTGGCTTTCCAGTCTTTATTCTGCATCTACCAGCAACACAGTTCAAATCCATCGTGTCCTCCCGGCCCCTCCGGGAAGCCCCTCGCTGGGTGCCGCTGCGGAGCACCCGAAACCAGAGCCTGCGGCCCCGGAGAAAATGTGGGGTTTGCAGAAATTCTTGGCAACCCTCCCACAGCTTCCCTACTCCCGAAATTAAAGAATCGAGCCACAGCAACCCCTCCATCGAAATTAAAACGAGCTATATTTACTGTTCATGCTAATTGAATTATATTAACTCCGAGCTGGATGATAAGCAGAGCCGTCCCTTACAGTTCCTGGTCTTAATACGTTTAGCGTCCAGACCAGCGCACGCCAGCGTGTCGTCGTGTTCAAAGCGGAGGAATTTGGTCCTGGGCTATTTTCATCCTGCCCTGACAAGGCTGCCTGCGGGACCCAGGGGGTTTTTGGGGGGCTGCAGCGCGGAAGCTCTGGCGAGTCAAGTGCAAACGCCGCGTTTCTTCCTCCGGCGCTGGGGAGCAGAAACCCCGCCGGGGCGGCACGGGCGGTGCCAGACGGTGATGGCAGCACCGAGACGGGCTCGGGGCGATGCCGGTGCCACGTAGGCACTGGGCAGAGGGTGGTACCAGGGACGGGAGCAGCTTCTCGCCCCAGTCTATATCCCCCCATCTCTGCAGGGCTGCGGTAGGGCAGGACCCAGCCTCACCCTCTTGGTGCTGCAGGATCAGGTCCCTGCGGTGCTGTCCCCACTGTCCCCACCCAGGCCGGTGCACAGGCGGGTCGGGAGGGACACAGCCCGCGGCACCCCCCTGACAGCTGGGGCAGCAAAGGGGTCTGGGCTGGGGCAGAGCACCGTGAAGTGACAGGACAGAGGTACGGGTGGAGGAGGAGAACACGCCATCGGCCCTAACGCTGTCAAGATGAACTTAACTCGAAAAACTCGGTCAGGAGGCTTCGATAAGACCAAAGGACCCTGCCAAGAGTCACACTTCCTATATTGAAGTGCGTAAAGCTGGACATGTAAGACATGAGGAAAGCACTGTCAGGGTAGGCCAGTGCCAGAGAGCAAATCTATAACAGTGGGAACATGAAATATTAATCACTGGTGCATAAAACAATAGGAAAAACCTGCCTTTGGAGGCAGCCATCAATCCTCGCTCAGCAGGGAACATCAAGAGACGCTAATACCATACAGGTTCTGCTTAAATATTTGCCTTCCTTAATGCTCACGCAAGAAGCATTTGCTTTGAAGTTGAGAATAGACTGTAAATGTCTTTTGTGTGAGATGAAACATGATAAGACATGAAACCAGGAGGCTAAACTGTAGTTAATCACGGTGGTTTTACAAGCAACAAATCATTATTGTAGACAGGAAAGTGTATCGCTTAAAAGCACACGCCATGAGGATCGCAGAGGGGAGAGCCCCAGCCGGGCATCGCCCGCCACTGGTGGGTTTTCGGGTTGTGGCCCATCGGGGTGGCCCTGGGAGCAGCTGTGGTGCTGGACCGATGCTGGCACGGGGCTGGACCGATGCTGGCACGGGGCTGGACCGATGCTGGCACGGGGCTGTACTGATGCTGTCATGGGGCCGGACTGATACTGTCACAGCCTGGAGCAGCTTTCCCCACTGAGGTCTTTCCCCACTGAGGTCTTTCCCCAGGGGATTTTTGGAGGGTTTTGGGTTCATCCAGCTCCCCGCAGGGCAGGCAGGAGTCCCCGTGCCGGCACCACCGTTTCGGAGCCTGGCTCTGTCTGCACCCACAGCCCGGGAGGGCGTTTTGGCAGGGGGTGATTAGTCCCACCCTGGGCAGACTCGGGAGCTCCACGCAGGGAAGCCACCCCTGAAAACTTGGGATGCGCTTGGGCGGAGGATGGAGCCCGC